AGCCTCTGCAGCATCTGGCAATTTTTGCCACTCCACCAACTCACAAACTGTATTTCTTTCTGCTCCCTAAAGACTATTAGATCCCACTCTTGCCCCTCTCTCTTCTTTGCTCTACTTCCCCTCCATGCAACCGGTTGCCAATTATCGCCCGTTCTTTGAAATTGTCTCTTGCATATGTTCCTTCCTTCCCACCCCCCATTGCCACGCTATATTTCCAGCCCTGATTACCCCATGCTTGAGCCTGAGCCATAGCTTCTCAGCAGCTCTTCCTGCCCCCCTCTTCCTCCTGGAGTTTAATTGCTTGTTGAATCCTGGTTCGTTCTGTGCTGTGACACTAGAATCACCTTCATAAGCAAACAGCAATCATGTTTCCCTCTTGGCTTGCCAAATGAAATCCAAACTCCTCAGGTACTCAAGATCCATCCTCTGTAACTTTGTCCCCTGCCTACTTTTCCTGCTTAACTTCCAGCAGTTTTCTAATACTTATCCACCTTCCGTTTGCCATTCCTCCTGTATTCCTTGTGTTTCAGGGTGAAGAGGGAGGCAGACGAGGCACCTAGGACACAACATTTAAGAAGCTACTCATTCTCATAGCTGTGCAAATGCTTCTTTAAATATTGTGCCCACGGCACCTTACCTGCCTGTTCCATTTTCCCATGTGGACTTTTGCTAGTAACTATTTTCTCTTCTCACAACACTCTACCGCCCCTCCCAATTCTGCCTTTAAAAATTCCTCACCTTTTCCTGATTAATTGGAAATAAATGTCTTCTCTCTTCGGAGCCCCTTTAGTCCTGTGGATATACTTTTCTCAGGACATTTATCACAAGGTGCTTTGTCGTTAGTGCTTTAAACATGTCTTATTTTCATTGTTAGACTCTAGGCTGCAGGAAATGACCATATCTTACATCTTTGTATTTCCTGAGTGACTTACCTCTATGATTTGCACATAGTAAGAAATCAGATATAATGAGTGTTCAAACTTCCATGAGCAGGGACAAGAAGTTTTTAACCCTCTCATCATAAATCAACAAAAGCTAATAGAAACATGGGAGGATAGTACTGATTTGCTCTGAAATCTGCAAGTGCATTGTAGACACCCCACCAGGTCCCCTTCTTACACATCTTTAAAGTAGTCCTTGTTTTATTGGGATTATGTGAATGTATAATTTTTAACTAAAATATATAAGATGTTGCCCAGCCAGTGTTGCTCAGTGGTTGAGTATCGACCTATGAACCAGGAGGTCCCGATTCCTGGTCAGGGCACATGCCCAAGATGTATGCTCAATCCCCTGGGGGGGGGGGGGGGTGCAGGAGGCAGCTGATCGATGATTCTCTCTCATCATTGATGTTTTTATCTCTCTCTTCCTCTCTCTGAAATCAATAACATATTTTTTAAAACTTAAAAATAAAATATATAAGATATTAATGAATGTTATTCTGAAAGTAATCATTTAAATTTCATTATGTATTAAACTAAAAGAAAAAAAGATGTAACTGGCTCCTTAAACAAGGGCTGTCCTCTCTAGCCCCTGTACCTAAAGCATAATGTATTCAGCTGGTCTCGTCTAATGTAGGCACCTGCGTTGAGCTCTGCAGTGGTGACTGGGACTGTGACCTAGGGGAGCACTGCATCAGCAATGGGTGTGGCCACATCTGTGCTGCAGACTAAGAACAGGTAAAAACATCAGGCCCTTTCTTTCTGCCTTCAAACCTTGTCCAAGCCAGGCAGGCTGTACACTTGGCCCTGATGGGACTTTTCAGAAATGGATGTGACAGAAGCCTGTCTCTCTGTGGTCTCTCCCCCTTCACCAATACTCCTCTCCCCCCTCCCCAAAGAAGCATCTATCATAGAATAGTGGTTTCCAATTTAAAATAATTTAATTACCCAGTATATTCTGGAAAGAAATCTATTTGATCAAAGAAGAGATAAAAATCACCCATAATCCCAGAATGGCAACTGCTTAACACTTTGGTGAATACTTTAAACACATACAATTATATAATGTTTATGTAAAAATAAGATAATCTTTTGATTTCTTGATTATTTCACTTAGAAATAGCTAGTGAACAACTCTTCATGTCAACACCAATGCTTTTCTATACCATCAACTTTAATAGCCTTATAGAAGTCCATCATACATGCTCATATATTTAGCAACCTCCATTAATACAAATTTAATATATTTCTTATTTTTATATTATTAATATGGCTGTAATGAATAGTAAATTAGTGTACATGCCCTTATTCATTTTTGTTGAGATAAATTCTAAGTATAATTAATGACCAAAGAATATGCTCATTTTAAGCTTTTAATGTGCAGTTCCATGTTAACCTATGAAAGCCCTCTTCCTCTAAAAATATTTCAGGATAGTGTTTTTCATTTTTCAATTTTCAGTAGCCATTAAATGAAAACAAAGCATAATTAAAAGCTTCTGTGATTCAGTTTTTATTACAAATTAAGTTGAATTGGTCCTTTAGGACAGAGCTGAATAAGCTGGAACTTCTTTCTCTCCCCTCCCTCCCTAGCCTTCCCTGCTAGCAGATGTGGCAAACCTCTGCCTTGCTCTTTCTTATTTTACCCCCTTCTTCTTCCTTTTAAAAAAATTTTCCCCTTCCTCTCTTTCACTATTTCCCCTTGGAAAAAAATTTTAATTAATTAAGTTGTATTAAATACAACAGAATCAACATATAATTTAAAAATAACCCATTTGGGTTCATAATCTATTATTTGTCCAATCCACCTACAATCCTTGGGATGTTTTTTGCCTTGCTGGCTCTCAACTGTGTAAGTATATTTGGGTCCCCAAAACAGCAGATCTAACACATAATATTTTGTCCATTTTTCAGATGAAGACTTATCTTAAGGGTCATCCTTCTCTGATAATTGATCACCTCTCCCTAGAATTCCTATCTTCAAACATGTGGCTGTTTGGAGCTCCTTGCACAGGAAGACAGATGAAAATGGGGGCCTGTGGATGAAGATTATAAGGGATGTGGTGGAGAAGGAAAAAAAAAAATCTGTTCCTCTTAATAAATCAACATTGTAAAAAAAAAAAAGTACCCACACTACCTGACTTATTTGGGCAGGGGTGATGAGAAGGAGAAAGAGAAGGTGGGGCTGGATGACATTTGTTGAACACTTGTTATACAACAAGGACTGTATTATATTCTCCACAAGCACTGTCCAATTTATCCTTACAACAGCCTTGTGACTATGCTTATTATCATTACCATTTTATATATAAGGATACTGAGATTTGGAGAAATTAAGTAATTTGTTCAAAGTCATATGTATCAGGGTCTTAACTATAATCCCATGCAACCTAAGCTGAGCCACGACAAACCCAAATCCTTTTCACAGTCTCTTTTATGCCACTTCCACTGTGATGATAAACAGGCCTCCCATCCTTCTAGCCCAGTATGTTGGACATATCTTATGCACTGCTTCAAAACTCTTCCCTTTACATTCCGATTGTAATCATTGCTACAGTAATTAGCTTATCTCAGTCATCTATCAGTTTAGCATAAAATAATTTGTCTGAGCCTTGCCTTGCATTTGTACTCAAGTACGACACACCTCTAACTTTTGCCTCGGGGCTTCTTTGACTATACAATAAGAGCTTCCTGCAGGAACCATCACATACTGATGCTTGCTCAACTCAGAAGCACTGGAGAATTCATGCTTGATGGGGCAACATTTGGCAATAAAGGTCAAAGGCTTACAGCTTCCTGCAGGAACCATCACATACTGATGCTTGCTCAACTCAGAAGCACTGGAGAATTCATGCTTGATGGGGCAACATTTGGCAATAAAGGTCAAAGGCTTACAGGTATGTGGTTACCCCTTCCATTCCTGGGAGCCTTTTAAAATTTTTAAAAGGCTTCTCAGAAAGTCCTGAGGATTGGGGAATCACTCACCCCTTGCAATGGCCAACTCAATAGCATATATTTGTATTGATTCTTCTTTCTTCCATGTTTATTCCTGAATAATTCATTCACATACTAACCTTAACTGAGGCTCTGCTTTTTGAGAACTCAAACTAAAACATCAGTGACTAGTTATCAATTCCTGATCTTCTCTGAGCAAATGCTTAAATATCACAAATGCATATACATACATCACATACATATGTGCACATCCCAAAATAATAATAGCAAGCAAAGTGAAATCTAAATTCAAACAAAAAAATAAATATTTCTCCCCAAAGAAGCCCAAAGTCTTCAGAGAATTAGCTCTTCCAAGAACATACTCCCAATTTTCATTGCTGAACAGAAGTGCTTTATTCTCAGGATAAAACATGTACATTCAGGTGACTTCCAGGTTTCCCCCAAGAGCCATGGGTGAGAATTTGCTTTATATTTGCATATCTCGAAGGTTTTCCCAGTCTACCCAAATGTAAATTCCAGGGCTTCACCTCCCGGGTGACTGAACACTGTTCACAGCTTTTAAAATGGCTCTTCTCTTTTCCAGCATTTTGCGTTTACGGTTTCAGGAAACCTTGGGGGTGTCCGATCTCACCAGGTCACCCTTGGGCGGGTTATATTTTACATGGTTCCGTTTGAGCTCCTGAATTACTTGTGGGGTGAGATGTCTCAAAATCCACAGGGGGAGTCCCCACCAGCCGCAAGGAATACGTAACCTTATTCGGGGCGGTTTTGTGCCTGGGAAAAAGCCAGGGGCTGTGATAGATGTCCGCAGAGGAGTGGAGCAGAACCAGCAGTTTCTGCCACTGCCGTCCCCAGTGGCCCCCCTCCAACTCCAGCCCGAATCGGAGGCGCTGGTACTCAACAGGAACGTCATCCCTGCTCAGGAGCAAACTTTCTGGGGGAACAAACACAGTCTCCACCTTTCGGTCAGGGCCCACGGAGAGGTGAGCGGGGGAAAGTTTCCGAGCTAAATATGGCAGGTGTTCAGCTCCAGTCTTGGGATCTGTTACCCCAAGCCCCGGAACCCTAAGGCTTCGGGTTCTGCTCTGAAAAAGGCGTGCCCGGAAGTGGAGGGCGGGGCCCGGGATGCCCCGGAAGTACTTCCCCACGTTCTACGTCGGAAACATGGCGACCGTGCAAATGGCCTGCTCCCCTTTGGGCGGGCCGCCGCGAGAGGCGCCGCGGGAGCTGCCCCGAGAGCAGGGCGCTGGCTTCCGCCGCCTGTCGGCCCGGCTGCGCGCCCTGCGCCCGGATGACAGCAGCGCCGCCCGCACCGAGATCCACCTGCTCCTGGACCAGCTCATCTCCGAGAACTACGGCGCGGGCGGCGGCGTGGCCCCGGAGGTAGGCGGGGTGCCGGCGGGGCGGACTCCGGGCGTCTGCGGCCCCGGCCCCACCCCTCGGGGACCCTAGCCCGCAGCTCCCGGCTGCCTCTCCGGGCTTTCCTTACCCCCCCAGCCCCTCCCACTTCGCATTCCTTGATTCCAGGCTGGTGCCCCTTCCGAGCATGGCCCGTGGCCTTCCCTCTGCCTGGGGGACCCGGCAGGGCTGGCCACACTTGCATCTTCCAAGCCCGACTGGGTGACTTCTGCTCTGATCCCGATGCACGTGTCATCTCTGCTTTCCCCTTCCCGCTCCGCTCCCTGCGTCCAGAATACTCTGTATATAAAATTCCCTGCTGCTAGTTATTGAGTGCACGGTGCAGGGGCCACGTCCTGTGCTTTTCCGTGTGCGGTTCCAGGGACTTGAGAGCGTGGGTATTAAGTCTGTTTCACTGGTAAAAACACGGAGGCTCATGAAGATCCAGTGTTATTGCTGGCCAAGGCAGAGCTGGGATTGGAACCTCCGTCTGTCACAAGTCCCTGCCTTTTCCGGTCCTTCACGCCAGTTCTGCCTCCCCCTGCCACCCCTTTGGAAGCACTTTGAGTGATGTTATTCACACGTCAGGCCTTGGGTACCCTTCACTGCATTCCCCGAACACTGACCCAACACACTGGTGCTCACAGGCACCTCGGACTTGACAGTTCCCAACAGTGAGTCCACATACCATCCCCTACACACACACAAGCACATGCACAGTCTGCCAATTCCCACAGGTGCAAACCGGTTCTTCCCCTTTGCTTCCTTCCGGAGCCTATCCAACCTGGATTCTTTACAATCTATCTCCTCATATTCCTCTGTCCATCCCCTCCTCTCCATACCAAATGCCAATGCCTAGGCCCTCCGGCCAGGGGACTCTTGCTGGACTACCCCACTTGTCTCCTCTAACTTATCGCCTGCCTCCATCCAGCCCTTCTACAAACCATTCTTTGCTTCGCTGATAGTGATCTTTTCTTTGGTGGAAGATAATCTGGAGAAGTAGAACTGTTGATTTGGGAAGATCTTCAATATATATCAGTAAATGCTCAAGGCAAATTACAGAACAGTTCATACCGTATGAGACCAGTATAGGGCGGGGAGATTTAAGAGTGTATGTACATTTATAGATACAAAGAGTTCACAACAAAAAGAGTTCGTGTTACTAGGGAGCAGAGTGGAATTAAGGGAGTAGCTGGGGACTTTTGTTTTATTTGTATGATTGGATATTTTTGTACCAAAAATAGGTGCCTTTCCAGTATCCTGTTCTGTAACTCCTCTTCCTGTGCCCTGTGTGCAGTCTTTTACAACTTACTGTTCCGCAAGCACCTGTTGGTATTTCACTCCCACGAGTATTTCCAAGTCTTCACACTTCATTCCCTTTGCTTCCAATGTCTTTCAAGCCTTGTCTGTCTACAGGTTTGTACTCACCCTTCAAATCATTCCACATTCTGCTGAAAACTCACTTCCACAAGGCCTCCCTAATTACCATTATCCCAGAGTTTGTACTTATTCTTTCAGCGCTTAGGTCACTTTAAGTATTTGTATTTCATCTCCCTCATTAGATGGTGAGCTTTTTAGGGCTCATAAATATGTTTGTTTATGTTTGGAGCACAAAGACCTGGCACATAGTAGGTGCTCAGAGCCTTTTTATTCAATAAACATCAATGAATGAATGGTGCAACTTTTGTTTTTTTAGAATTCCCTAATTTTACATTAAATTCATGCAAGCATCATTTCTGATTTTCCCAGTGGCAATGAAAATCTGGTTTGCTGCCCAACTGGCATGGCTCAGAGGTTGAGCATCAGCCTATGAACCAGGAGGTCACAGTTCGATTCCTGGTCAGGGCACATGCCCAGGTTGTGAGCTCGATCCCCATTGGGGGGCGTGCAGGAGGCAGCCCAATGATTCTCTCTCATCATTGATATTTCTCTTTCTTTTTCCCTCCTTCCCTCCGTCCCTTCCTCCCTACCTCTCCTTTTCTCTCTGAAATCAAAAAAATATTTAAAAAAAAGAAAATCTGGTTTGCTACTTTTTGGTATGTTTTACTTCAGTGTATGCTTTTATATTACGGAAGCCTTTCTTTGGCTATTAATTATACTGCCTCTACTTATGTAGAGACTCTGAAATCTTTAACCTGACAAAAACCATATTATTTCCAGCACATCCTAGTTTTGTGCTGTCATTTCCTACTTTCTGCCTCAATTTTGAGTGTAAACAATTCACTTTTATTTTGCCTTTTGCAGAGGGGGTTCTTCACGTGACTGTATCACCTTTCATTGTCTTGTTTTTGTTCTTGTTTTTGGTAGGATGTCAGTACTCTTCTTGTCCAAGCTTGCCGACTGGTGCCTCTTAATCAGAATCATCTTGTCAGCAAAGTGTCTCAGCTTACCCACCATTTACTTAACACATTACAGGTAATCATTCATGAAACTTTAGAATTCAGATTGTGCGCTTAGAGAATAAGTACCTTTGAAACACTGCATCTGTGGTAGGTATGATAGGCTGGTCTTTTGAGAAGCTAGCAGCGGTTCTCAACCTGTGGGTTGCGACCATCAGAAAACACATATAGCATATCAGATATTTACATTACGATTCATAACAGTAGCAAAATTACAGTTATGAAGTAGCAACAAAAATAATTTTATGGTTGGGGGTCACCACAACATGAGGAACTGTATTACAGGGTCGGGGCATTAGGAAGGTTGAGAACCACTGAAAGAGAAAGGAAATGCCTGCTAAGAATGATATTAAACAAATATAACTGATTTTTTTTTAAATTCTGTACAATTCTAGAAGTTTCTAAAGAAACCAATTTCACTCAGGCCCCCAGGTCTTAAAATTTTTCATGAAGGTGTATTTGACCAAGATATATCTAATAATAAATTGGAATAGTCCTCTACACCTCTCCTATCAATGTTTTTTTTCCTCTTTCCAAAAACTGCCATTTTTGTGGTCTACTTTTAGTATTTTTCAAACATGAGAAGTAGCTTAGAGGTAAGAGGATACTAGATAAAAACACCCTTTTTTATATCAAGATCTATACTATAGCTTCCTTCTCTCTAGAACTGTTTCCAACTTGCTAAACAAATTTATTATTTTTTTTACGAATGGTTAAAATATTAAAGCTATTACTATAAGATACTACATGAGTATATGAATGTAGGAATGTAGTTCACACAAAACTTAGTAATTTAGGGTGCTTTTGGCTTCAAGAAACAAAAGCCAACCCAGGGTAGCTAAACAATTTTTTTTAAATTATGCCCCATGGGAGGCAGCTCTAGGGGTACTTAAAAATAAGAGGATTACTGGTATCTTTCAATTTTGCCACCTGCAGTATATAGGTTATCCTTAGCCAGCATCTCTCACAGCCATAAGAAGACTGATGACTGCTTCAATTCCAGGCATCAATGCAAAATAAAGAACACCGAGCAGAAGCAAAAGAAGTGTTTATTTTATGTCTTTTTTTTTAAGAATGAGGAAATTTGGCCCACATGTACTCCAGTAGACCTCCCTTGATATTTGGCTGGGGAGATGTAGGTCATATGAAAACCTCTCTATAGCAGTTTAATCAGGGAATGGTATGACCATAAGTGGCTTAAATCGGGAATTTCAACCTTGACTGCCCATTAGAATCATCTGGAGGGCTTAAGCTCCCTAGATCAGCGGTCGCCAACCTTTCGGACCTCACGGACCACCAGTAGTCCTCGGACCACCGGTTGGCAACCGCTGCCCTATATGATTACAATGTGAAGTTGAAACCTAACATCACGGTTTCTCGCCCTCAGCACTATTGATTTTGGATTGGATAATTCTCTCCTGTGCATTGTAGAATGTTTAGCAGAATCCTTGGCCTCTACCCACTAGATGTGTGTAGCATTCCTCCAGTTGTGACAAATCATAAATGTATACAAACATTGCCAAATGTTCTCTGGTGGACAAAATTGACCCTGGTAGAGAGCTACTGTCTTAGATTAATTAGGCTTTACTCTCAGGTCTCATGTAGAAGAGGTGGGCACCCAAACAAAATCTTAAAAAGAGGAAGTAAATGGTGGTAGGTTACCAACAGTGTCTGCTGCATGTGACTTCATAAATGGAATAAGGGTGTTTTCAAGTTTAGAATTTTTCAGGTTGATGTGATAGCTTCTGAATGTTTACTGTTCTTAGGTATATCATCTTTGTCACACTGGCAGTTGGAATCATTCTAATCACCTATGGCATCTACAGCCCTTAATCAACTCTCTAGCATTTGATGATAGCTTATCTCAGTTGTCTGTGAGTTGGTATTTGGATTAGCCTACTTTGTCCCAACAAGATTATAAACAACTGGAGGACAGGGTTATGGAGACCTTTTAGCTATTTAGTAAACATTTATTCACAATGTTTTTGTTGAGCATTTACTTACTATGTATAAGGCAAGTTAGTTGAATGAAGAAATTTCAATGGATTGAGCCTTACATATCTGTATATTTACAGCTGCCAGTGTCTGGTTAGTTCAAGGAAAAGTTACAAGCAATTTGCCAGATTCTACTTTGAGTAGAGGGAGTAAAGGGGAAGAAATAAACAAGACTGAGGCGAAGAGAAGGCCCTGTATTGATCAAACTTTCAAGGCCTATCGAGCTGATCTTTTTGACACAAAAAAGATGGACACATCACACTCCCTTTCTTACATAGTTTAATTCAGATGAGCATATGTGTCTGAAACAGATTAAAAAAAATTTTGAAGTAGATCATATGTATTTTTTTCTCTATCTATAGGTGATAGTTGATGAGCGAAACCTGGATTTTCTGTTGGCGTATACAATTTCTGCAATTCAACAGTGCAGCTCCTGGACACATGTGAAAATTCTTCAAGCCCTGGCAGCTCTGGTTTACGGCAATGGCTCAAGATGTCAAAAGGTAATTTAAACTGTGTTCTGTTTGTTATTTTTGTTTTTTGAAGGGTTATGAGCACAGGTCCTGAACCAACAGGCCTTTTTTCAGGTTTCTGTCCTGCCGTTAATTAGATGTGTCTTAGCAACCCTTACTCGACCACTCCGAGGCTCATTTCCTCTTGTGTAAATAGTTCCTCGGGATGAAGTGAGAATACTTGTAAAGTGCTTGGCACTTGGTAAATGTTAACCGTTATTATTTATTATCATTACGTAGCCAAGACTAAATACCTCAGCAACTACCTAGGCTGGGAGTGATGATTCTTACTGATGTCTTTGGGCATATCTTTGCGTCCCCATCGAAAAGATTTATCTAGCAGCTAGTCTCTTGGTATTTAACTGCCCTTTAATTTAAAAAATGAAATCTGTCTAAAGAGTAATATTTTTCAGAAGCTGTTCTTTGACCAACACTGGCTGCCGTTTTGTTTTAGTATCTCCCAGACTTATTAGGCAAGAGTGGACTCTTGATGAAGTTGAGTGACTTGGCTCAGTCTGACCCTGAAGTTAGGAGAGCTGCAGTGCATTGTATGGCAAACCTATGTCTCAGGTACGTGGGTCCCATCAGACTTCCCAGTTGTAATAACATAGGGCCTCTTGTGGGCTCCTTGTAGGTGGTTCAATCTGTCTGAAGCCAGAGCCAACTTCGAAAATCAACCTATTTTGCATTTCCCATGTTCTTTGCTAATAATATATTGCTTATTTTTAACTCTCATATTGTTTGTAAAGAAAGCTTGTAAAGAAATGAAGGAAAATAGACTAGGACCTTATTGCTAAAATATAGTAAAAGCGATATATGTGCAATATGTCAAGTTTTTGTTTTCTACTGGTATAAATTCTAATCTTACTCAGTGTTTTAGAAGGATCTATTCATATGAATTTAAGCTTTGGTGAGATTTGTCTGTGAAGGCCAATTTCTTCTAAGAAAATGGAACCAATCCCAGCTGCCCAATTCTAGATTTATGCAGTAGAAAGTGAGCAGCACAAACTTGAACTGATTAGGATATTTTGTCTCTACATTGCAGTGTTGTCCAGGGACTAGGAAGGCATGATTCAGCTGTATGTTTCTGACTTGACAGGATCTGTCGGCATGATTCCTCTTGCAGAATTAAATAAGATTTCTTTCTCCATACTTCTTCTGCCACAAACTTCTGTAACTTTTCCCTATGGAAACCATTCTTCCAATTCATTTCAGTCTTGAGCCTGTACCCAAGTGCACAGTCTTCCATAATACAGTTTTATTCAAGAGTACATTCCAACTCTGTCAGTCTATATTATTGCTACTTTTAATTCTATTCTCTTGCAAGACCCATTTCGAAGGAGACTGACTTGCTTTCTCTGTGTGTGTTTTAGTGTGCCAGGACAGCCGTACTTGGAGGAGCCCTACCAGAATATCTGCTTCCAAGCTTTCTTGACCATTTTACAGTCTCCAAAATCACCTGATATGGATGATATCACGTTTTGCATGGTAGGTGGGACTATCACTAATCTTGTGAATGTAACAGATGAGACTAGAACAGGGGTGGGCAAACTTTTTGACTCGAGGGCCACAATGGGTTCTTAAACTGGACCGGAGGGCCGGAACAAAAGCATGGATGGAGTGTTTGTGTGAACTAATATAAATTCAAAGTAAACATCATTACATAAAAGGGTACGGTCTTTCTTTTTTTTTAGTTTTATTCATCTCAAACGGGCCGGATCCGGCCCGCGGGCCGTAGTTTGCCCACGGCTGGACTAGAAGCAGCAGTGGAAACAAAGCCGTTACCAAAGATTTTAATTTGGTTGCTACTAGTATATTAGTTTTGTCTAGAGATCTAGGCATAAGTGGAATGTTGATAACCTAAAAAGACTGAAATCATATCTTTCAAGTTTAAATTATAAGAAACTGTTTTTGTTTGTTTTGTTTTGCTGTTGTTTTTGTTTTGCAATTGTAGGATTTTAAAGAACACTATTTTCCCCCCTCCTGACTATAAAAGCAATATAGTTGCAGACTATTGACTTTTTTATTTGTTTTTTTTTTACTTATTTTTAATTTAATTCTCATCTGAGGACATGTTTATTGATTTTTTTTTTTTTAAATAGAGTGGCAAAACGGGGGTGGGGGAGAGAATTAGCTTTTTATATAATCATTGTCATAATTGATGGAAATTGAAGTTTTCTCAATGTTTCCACTATTTCAAAAAGACTGCAGTTTACATCCTCTCCATGTGAGGAGCATTTCTTAAGGATAGAATTCTGGAAATGAGATTACTGAGTCAAAAATCAATCTTGATCAGAATTGCTCTCCAGAAACCGGCTCCCACATTCATTTCTTTGCCTTTGAGAGCTGCTGAGGTGGTTGTATTATAGATCCCCTGCCTCTTGTCTCTGCTGCCGCTTTTTCATTCCTATCACATTCTTCCCACTAAATGTCTCTTCTTTTTTTCCTACCATTTGTACATGCTGATTTGGAAACATGTATACAAGACCACTCTTATTCAATAAAAACACTCTGTTCTAGAAAATAACTAGTAGTTCATCAGATATCTTCCCTGGATCTTCATGGGGTATTTTTGTTTTTGTTCCCGCACCCCTCTCCCCCCACCACGCCCCTCACCCCCACCCCCGTCCCTGTTTAAAGTTTTTTTCATCATCTAAAGACATTTTCTCTTCCATCATAAGTGGTGCTAGAAAGTTGATCCCTGGGCAACCAAATTTCACTTACCTTTTAACTTGGTCTTCTTTTCCCCCCCTAGTTGTTACAAAATGCATTAAAAGGTATACAGTCTCTTCTAAATGGTGGGAAAATGAAATTGACACAGACGGATGAACTTGGAGCTCTTCTAGCTGTGCTCAAGGTAAGGCATTGTCTGTTTAAACCCACATCCTGATTATGGTTAATATCTTTCCTATTTAAACCCCAGGCATAAGGACTATGTTATCACTCTAAAGCTAGTTTTGGGGTATTATGTTTTAAGAGAGAAGAATAAAATGTTCATATTCAAACTTACTTAAAATTAAGAACTGAAAACAATAAACCTTGCTTTATTTAGTACATGTCTCAAAATTCTAAAATTTTATCTATCTTAACTTAGGAAGGGACTTTGTATAATCTGGAAATAATTTAATTTTAGATGATCTTGAAACTATATTTGAAAGAAGAACCAGGTCTTCTCCTTGCCTCTCGCCCCCCTATAATAGATAGGCCAATCAAGATGTATGTCAGGCCCTAGCTGGTTTGGTTCAGTGGATAGAGCGTCAGCCTGTGGACTGAAGGGCCCCGGGTTCAATTCCAGTCAAGGGCAGATGCCCCGGTTTTGGACTTGATCCCCAGTAGGGGGTGTGCAGGAGGCAGCCAATCAGTGATTCTTATTATTGACGTTTCTATCTCTCTCCCTTCCTTTCTGAAATCAATGAAAAATGTTAAAGAAAAAGAAAAAAAGATGTGTGTCAGTAGGCCGCCAGTACATCCTTTGGCTTCTGAGCCTGCCAGTCAGTGGGAAAGTCAAGTCAGCCTCTCTGGGGACCCAATTGTCATCATTACGGTCAGAAAATAGTAAGAAGCTTTGTGCTAGCCTCAGATGAAAGCCATGTATGATAATTTAGCTTTATCATGACTGAAATTTTAATGTTTTCCCTGTGCCATCTTCCTACTCCCAAATAGATAGGCAGACAGATATCTACGTGTGGACATGGATAAGCTAAATTAAAAATTTATATTTAGATAAAATAATTACATAAACCTGGATAAATTTTATAATAAGTAAAATAGTAAGTAAATGAATAAACTAAAATCAGGTCTAATCTGGTCTGCTCAAATCAGACCTAGCTGGATGTGATTAAACTCTTCATTAAGTCTTATAAGCTATCCTCAGTCCCATTTTTATTTCCTTAATAAGCTTCTTAACATTAATTTGTTGTCTTTGTGATCCAGAACATAATGGATAATTCTGGTTCTTTATGGTTTTTTGCATGTGCTTTCTTAATCGTCATCATTAGAAATCCATGTTTCATGGACTCCCCGGAATAAACATAGAGATGCCCACGGTATTATACCCGACTCCACTTCCTCAGTATGATGGACGACCACCTGTCAAATTGCAACTACCAGAATCCAGTGCTTCTCGACCAGCTATGGTACATTTATGTCTATTTAGATTTAAGTTGCAGATTGTTTTTATTGCTTGCTATGTGTTTTCTATGATTTGCATCACTATTGTGCCAAAGGCTCATTTGAATTTGGTTCAGTTTAGGGATTTTAAAATAATAAATTTAAATTCAACACACTGCTGAAAATACCATTTAGAGCATCTTATACTTGTAAGATATCTAGTAAGTATAACAGCAATAAAAATGAGCATTCACTTTACACCCAAAGCCCAGCATCCTCATCCCTCAAATGCTCAAGAGTCAACAAACTTTTTTTGTGAAGGGCTTGTTGGTATGTATTTGCAACTGATGTCCTAGTGCAAAAGCAGCCACTATGTTAATGAATGGGTGTGGCGTATTCCAATAAAACTTTATTTATAGAAACAGGCTGTGTGTGCGAGGCTGGATTTGGCCTTTGGACTGTAATTTTTCCTCTCTAGACCATTAATTACCAGTCAGCGAGTGGGTTAATACTTCCCAGGCAAGATCTTTTAACGTGTCTTTAACTGGTTTTGAAGTGTGTGATGGTGCGTCATCATGAAGCAAAAGTGTCTTCTGGCCCATTCTGGTGGTTTTACGATCAAAGCGTGGTTCAAATTGATTATTTGTTGTCAGTAGTGATCAGTAGTAATGGTTTCACCTGATTTTAGAAGCTCATAATACCACACCTTCCTGATCCCACCAAATGCAGAGCATTGTCTTCTTTTCAAAGCGATTTGGCCTTGCAGTCAATGTTGATGGTTGACCTGGATCAACCCATGATTTTGTGTGTTTGGGATTCTCAAAATAAATCCACTTTTCATCACCAGTCACAATTCAATGCCAAAGACTTTCTTTTGTGCCGTTGAAGCAACATTTTACCGATGACTTTTTGGTTTTCCATTTGTCTTTCATTCAGTTGACATGGCACCCATTTTTCTTCCTTTAAAATCTTTCCCATTGCTTGTAAACGATCAGAAATTCTTTGCTGAGCAACGTTTAATCTTTCTGCAAGTTGTTTTTGAGTTCGACACGCATCTTCATCCAATAATGCTTGTAATTGGTCTTCAGACTTTTTTCGGTTGACCTGGATGTTCTTTGTCTTTCACATCGAAATCCTCACTTTTAAAGCGTTTAAACCAGCGTTCACAAGTATCTTGAGATGGAGCATGTTCACCATAAGCTTCCCGAAGTATACGATAACTTTCAGAAGCACTTTTCTTCAAAATAAAGTAATGAATTAAAACTTCCCGCAAATGCTCTTTTTTTGGCACGAAATTCGACATTTTTAAGCATAGAAATATCTATGATGTTAACACCTTCAGAAAATTTGACATATGAAGTTTTGAAGCTTGTCAATATAATAAAATAGCATGCATATCAAATCACATATATATCAGCATATGTGTAACTCCATCTATTGGAAAAAATCCGCATTAACTAGTACACATAGTTTTTAGGAGTTTGAAGGGAAAGATGAAGATGAATAAATAACTGCAATGCAGTATTGGGATTTCTTTCATCAGCATATTCACAGAGTACTTTGGGAACACATTCAGGACATCCAAACAAATTGAGGAGTCAGAGACTTTTTAAAAGATGTGGCTAAACTAAGACTCCAGAATGAGTATTAGTACAGAAAAGGAACATTTTTATTTTGAAGGAACAAAAAATGCAAAAATATAGAAAATGAGAGTGCATATAGCCCATTGTTAACCAGTAGGTGTAGAGTGTCGGGTGTGCAGAAGGGAAGGGTCAGGCAAGTATGTAGCAGAGGCCAAATCATAAGAGTCTTGTATAGCATGCTAAGGAATTTGGACTTTTATCATATAGGGGGTAGAGATTCAAAGAATCTTATAGAGCAGAGTGAGAAAAGATTTGCATTTTAGAAAAATAACTGGTAGCAAGTAAAAGGGTATGAGTCTGGAGCCACATTAATAATCTAAGATAGGAGTGATGAGGACCTTCTTCCCCAAGGTCATGGATTTTGAATATGCAGAGGAGGGCACGGATTCCAAAGATTTGGGGATGTCAAAAAGCCATAGGAGAAAAGTAACCGGCTTTTACTTAATATCTACACCTACAAAGCCCCAATGCTCTAAAACATGCATTGTACCTAATGGATGAATGTCTCTCCCATACACCTAGAGTGGTACTGACTATGTATCTTGTTTGGGAGAACTGAGAAAATAGTCACTCGTCATTTTCTATAGACCTTGATTCTCTTGCAGAACCCCAGTTGAGAAGGCTGAATGCTTTCACAACAACTGTGCAAGGTAGGTGCTATTAGCCTTATACTTACGTGATGAAGGTCAGGCTCACAGGGGCTCACTGATTTGCCCAGGGTCACAGAGGTGGAAGATACCTGGTAACCCAGGCCACAAGTTTTGCTGTCTCACATTTTTCATACCTTGCTTCTTTTAATCCCATAGAGTACGTGTAAGCACTTAGCATAGTGACTGACACATGGGGTGTTAAGTAAGTGCCACTTTATTTTTACTTCTTTCAACTACATGTTGGGGACATATTTGGTAATTAACAAATGAGAAAGGACTAGTGACTCAGAAGCTGTTTTGAAATTACTATCATATATATATATGTATGTTTTCATTTGCTCTTATCATCAGAATAGAAAGAAAAAATCAAAAATAAAACCAAGGAAAATCCAGCCAGGAGAGGAAGAGGAGGAGGAAGAGTCCAGTGGTGAAAGAGAAGCAGCCCCAGTTACTGGCTTGGGCAGAGCGAACCTGCATGAAGGGAGCACCCAGTCTCCCTCCTCCTTGGCTGTCCAGAGTTTGCGGTTAGATGGAAGTGGAACTGCAGGAAAAGATGGAGTCTCCTCACCCTTCAGTTCTTCCGGTTGGAAAAGGGTCAGCAGTAGTGACTCAGACTATTCTGATACTGAAGGAGGCATGCAGAGTAAAATGAGGTAGTAGTATTTTGTTATATTTTTATATTGAAATTGCATGTAAGTTTTTATAACTTTGCTTAAAACACTGACTGCTGCATGTGATTCAACTTAAATGTTCTAATTTTTATGGGACTTTGCATTACTCTGCATTTTGCCCATTCTCTTGATTTGCCTTTGTGCATGAGGTTTCTCTGCCTGGAATATTCTTTCTTTCACTTTTTTTTTTGGTCTTTTTGTCTTGTTAACCATTACTCAGCAGTCATGTCCTCTGAGAAGCCTTTTCTGAGCTTCCCCGCCCCCATTCTGGCTTAGGTACCTCTGCTGTGTGACCTTATCTGTACCTTAGTGTCAATCATAATGTGTTGTAGTTCTCTCTTCCACTCTGTCTCTGCCATTAATAAGCCGGCCAGTGGCAGGGGCTGGTTTATGTCTGCCAACCTCAGCACAGTATCTGGCACATCAGTGAGGATACTCAGGACATGTTTGTTGGATGAATGGATACTCTGCAGTTTCCTAACATCAAAATGCTGCCCTTTTCATGCACCTTTGGTTGCGGGCACATCCCCAGTAGGGGGTGTGCAGGAGGCAGCTGATCGATGTTTCTCTCTCATCGAGTGTTTTTCTCTATCCCTCTCCCTTCCTCTCTGTAAAAAAATCAATAAAATATGTATATTTTTTAAATGCTGCCCTTTTATTCTCTATCTAGTTGTGTGTTTTTTAATAGCTTTTTGTACTTATGACAATGTACTTTTATTTTTTTATATATATATATTTTATTGATTTTTTACAGAGAGGAAGGGAGAGAGAGAGTTAGAAACATCGATGAGAGAGAGAAACATCGACCAGCTGCCTCCTGCACATGTCCTACTGGGGATGTGCCCACAACCCAGGTACATGCCCTTGACCGGAATCGAACCTGGGACCTTTCAGTCCGCAGGCCAACGCTCTATCCACTGAGCCAAACCGGTTTCAGCAACTAGTTGTGTTTTTTAATTGTCAATTTTATTAATGTGTTATATAAACAAATTGCTTTAACACGTTTTCATTGTATTTTGAAAAATAATTTTTTAATATTGTATTAGCATCTTTAGGACTTAGAATGTTGAACTTCTCAATGTATCATTTGAGTTGGCTGAAATAAATTTTATTTCATGCTTATATTTTTAAGAACTATTAAAGGACTTTTTTCCTTTCTTCTCTTGGTTATTAAAGGTCTTACCAAGCCAAAGTTCGCCAAGGAGCATTAGCTTGTTTTCTTTCTACTATAAAATCAATAGAAAAAAAAGTTCTTTATGGCTACTGGTCAGCCTTTGTTTCTGATACACCTGAGCTTGGAAGCCCACAGTCTGTTTCCTTGATGACTCTTACATTAAAAGATCCTTCCCCAAAGGTAAGAGCACTTAGATTCTCAGTGTTATGCTAGGAAGAAAAACTTTACTGTTATTTTCTCTGCCCTGTTGTTTTTGTTGTTTTCTCTGCCCTGTCCAATCTTACATGAACACAGCTCTTACTAATACCAACCCAGGTGTGGGGTGCAAGGGCCTAGCTCATGGCTACTTTTAGGACCTGGTAGATAATCCCATTGCCTTTATTCCAATTAAAATTATCCTAAAAATTTTGAAAATGAAAAATGTATATCAGAAGAAGGGGATCTGACTCCTGATTTTTAACTAACTGATGTGAATCATCCTGAAATTTCAGACGCGTGCCTGCGCTCTGCAAGCTTTGTCTGCCATCTTGGAAGGCTCAAAGCAGTTTCTTTCTGTTGCTGAAGATACCAGTGACCACAGAAGGGCTTTCACTCCCTTCTCTGTCATGATCGCTTCCAGTATCAGAGAGTTGCACAGATGTCTTTTGTTAGCGTTGGTGGCTGAGTCATCCTCACAGACCCTTACTCAGATCATTAAGGTAAATGTGCCCAGTTATCTGTTTCAATTTTATATAATTATTTTCTAATTGTTTTATTGCTTAAAGTATTACCAAGAGTATTACATATGTGTATAATGTTTTGCAATGCTGAAAAGTAACTTAAGAATATAACTAAGTAGTCATTTTATTTGAAGATATCCTATTTGTACCTACTTATTTGATCTTACCTACTACCCTGTATGTCCAAATACATGATTTACTAAAAACAAGCAAACAAAAAAACAAAGAACACTCCTTTATATTTAGTTTTAAGTTGTACCAATGAGAAAACAAGTGCTATCTCCCTCCCACCCCCAAAGACAGAAAAGAAAATGAGTGATTTTCAAATAAATGTGAAGACTTCTTTTTAAATTAAATGCTGTAAAATTTTGTTTTTATGTTATGGCTTAATCAGGTCTGTTAAGCAGCTATTCTTGTGCTTTGCAGTGCCTTGCAAATTTAGTATCAAATTCGCCTTATAACCGTCTGAAGCTCAGCCTGCTGACCAAAGTCTGGAACCAAATAAAGCCTTATGTCCGCCACAAAGGTTGGTGGGAATTTAAAATTATTTGCTTCTTTATATCCGTCAAATCTAGATTATTAGTTTAAAAATATTCACAGCAATTGTACAGCTCTAAGATATCTCTCCTTACCCTCCCCAAGCGTTCAGGAGAATCACATTGCTAGAACTCCACTTTTGGCCTCTGAAGTACCACTGGGTGGAAGTGAGCTGGAAAATTGTTTGTAAAGTTGAATGCCTCTTTGCTACTTCAGTGCAGTAATCAGGGTATCCCTTTAGACTGAGCCAAGTGCAAGGGATCCCCTCCTGTATGTAATAGTTTATATCCTTTAGTCATAAGTAGAGGATGGATGGACAGTCAAATAGACAGACATCATCTTTTAAAAAAGAAAAACTGGAATATAAAACCTAACTTCCTCAACTTTATTTCCTCTGAAGATCAGTTAAAATTCCAGAACCTCCAGAACCTCAAATCTCCACTAACTACAGTCTTGTTTCTTGGTATTTCCTGACTTCTTCCACACATAATATGCAGGGGTAGGCAAAACTAGGGTTACTGTTGTGAGTACATGAAACATCTTGTATTATTTATTAATTATTGTATTATTTTCCATATGAACAACTATAAATCTACTTTTGCCAACCCCTGTATATGTACTGTAACACTTGCCTTTAAAACATTTGTTTTTCTTTTGTTTGCAAGCTTTATGATCTGACCACATTCTAAAAAGTTCAGTTTTTTATTCAAAATTACAGAACTTGATGGCGGTGTGTATTTTTTCTGTGACATCGTGGGAGGGGTCCTGGACCTGGAGTCAGTCAGACTCCCACTTCTGCCCTCTCTGAACTCTAATTTCCTCCTAACAGGAAGCATTATACTTATCTCGTAAGACTTATAAGGCTTAACTGAAATAGTGACGCGGAAACTGAGTCCAGTTCACTCCTTTTACCAATGTGTAAAATGGGACCCCAAAAGATAAATCTTGCCTGAAGGTGTCTCATCACATTAGTGACAGAAGTAAGATTAAAACAACCCAGGTCTTGTGGCTCAGTCCTCTGCTTATTCTACTGCATCTGTAAACCATGTCTCAGAGGTCCCTTTCAAGTGTCTGACTCTGTCCTCCATCAACTTTTTTTTTTTAATATATTTTATTGATTTTTTTACAGAGAGGAAGGGAGAGGGATAGAGAGTTAGAAACATCGATATCTCTACCTAGATTTAACATTGTTAATTTTTGTCATATTTGCTTTCTGTGTCTCTTTCTACATATATATGTGTGTGTGTATGTATATATAAATATGTGTGTATATGTGTATTTTCATGTATGTGTATATATTTATATTGACTTTTTTCCTTGAGCCATTTGAAAGTAAATTATAGATATGATATTTTACCCTAAATACGTCAGCATGCATATCTTAAGAATAAAGATAACCTAAAAAACACAAAACCAGTTTTCCACCTAAGAAATTTATATTGATTCCATAATATTGTCTACCATCTTATTCACATTTAAATTTCCCCATGTGTCCCAAAAAGTCTTTTATAGCTTTAAAAAAAAAAACACCTGCCGAAGCCAGTTTGGCTCAGTTGATAGAGCGTCGGCCTGCAGACTCAAGGGTCCCAGGTTCGATTCCCCGTCAAGGGCATGTACCTTGGTTGCGGGCACATCCCCAGTAGGAGGTGTGCAGGAGGCAGCTGATCGATGTTTCTCTCTCATCGATGTTTCTAACTCTCTATCCCTCTCCCTTCCTCTCTGTAAAAAAATCAATAAAATATATTTTTAAAAAAACACACACCTCTGTGCTTGCTTCGGCAGCACATATACTAAAATTGGAACGATACAGAGATTAGCATGGCCCCTACGCAAGGATGACACGCAAATTTGTAAAAAACAAAACAAAAACACCTATGTTCATTCAAGGTTTATATATTGCATTTAGTTTTTATGTCACTTTAGCCTTTTTAAATCTAGAATAGCCCCCAACCCTTTTTTTTTCTTTCATGATACTGAGTTTAGGAAAAGTCCAAGCCAATTGCCCTGTAGAATATCTCATATTCTCCGTTTATCTGATAGTTTCTTCATAGTGTTAACTTCTGTTTCTGGCCCCTGTATTTCCTATAAGCTAGTAAATAGGTCTGGTTTAATTAGATTCGGATTAAACAAGGAGGCCATAATTCTTAGTTGCTTGCAGGGATAACTGTGGTCCTTCTGACAGCTGTTCCCATGGTGATAGAGTCTTACTGTTTCCTTTGACAGACGTTAATGTCCGTGTGTCAAGTCTCACACTCTTGGGAGCCATAGTATCCACTCACGCACCTTTACCTGAAGTTCAGCTGCTTCTACAACAGCCCTGTTCTTCTGGACTCGGCAATAGCGATTCAGCAACCCCCCACCTCAGCCCCCCTGATTGGTGGAAGAAAGCCCCGGCAGGACCCTTTCTGGAAGAAGCATCAGTTAGCTCCCCCACGGGGTCTGCAGAGCCCTGCTGGCTCATTCGGCTTTGCATTTCCACTGTTGTGCTGCCCAAGGAGGACTCCTGTTCAGGTAGCGATGCTGGCTGTGCAGCAGGAAGCACCTATATGCCATCCCCCATGCGACTGGAGGCCTTACAGGTAGGAGGTGTCATTTCCTCGTCTCTGGAACGGAAGTTAATTATTCTTCCTTCATAGGGTGCGGGTGAGGAGTGAGTCCGTGAAAATATGTAAAGCTGAGCCATGTCAGCGGTGTCAGTGGGAGTTGTATTGTAGATGTGAGTGCCTTGTTTATTGGTGCTTGTTTTGTTAAGATTGTTGGTGGCTTTGGTTGTAAAATGTCAGGTTCACTCATTTTCATTGCAAGCCATTTTACTCACCTCGGGTATTATATGACAGATATAATAATTACATAGTAATTCTGAAAGAAATTGTGTAATCTTTTTTTAAAACATATTTTTATTGATTTCAGAGAGGAAGGGAGAGGGAGAGATAGAAACATCAATGATGAGAATCACTGATCGGCTGCTTCCTGCACACCTCCTACTGGGATCAAGCCCACAACCCGGCCATGTGCCCTTGACCGGAATCTAACTTGGGACCCTTCAGTCCACAGGCTGACACTCTATCCACTGAGCCAAACTGGCTGTGTGGTTTTTCTTTTATCTTCTATCTGCTTAGAGACAACAAAATATAATTACTCCCTCAAAGGAAGAAAACAACTCTAGATTAAAGTACTTGCTTTTTCTGTACTCAAGTATGATCTAAGACAGGTTTGGTCCTGGGTTCTTTATCTGCTTAATATTAAACATGTCCATTAACCTCTTTAACCTTTAACATTTTTAGCCTTAGTTTCTTCAGCTGAAATGTTAAATTAAGACCTACCTCAAAAAATTATACCCAGGCTTCCTTAAATGCAATAATGTTGATAACCTTAATGAAACGTATTTTGTAAATTATAAAGCACTATAAAATTATATGATATAGTTCATTAATTTTAGCCATAAAATAAAGATTATGGTTGTTCTGCATTTCATTCAACATCATATTTCAACACTTTGTTAAGTGTGAGTGGTTTCTGAAATATTGAAATACTTTTCTGGGCATTGCAGCCCTGCATTCAGGGCTTGGAGTTCATGCTCTGTTCTCTTTGCAGGTGTTGGCTCATCTGGCAAAGGGCTACTTTTCCGTGGCTCAGGTCTACTTGATGGAGCTTGCAGAGGTGATTTGCAAGTGCATGGGGGAAGCAGATCCTTCTATCCAGCTTCATGGAGCAAAGGTGATTTTCATGAAAAACCACAGGCTCTTCTTCTTTTCTTCCTTTTATATTCTTCCTTCTGTTGCCTGTTCATCAGAGGTTTCTTCCAGAGGTTTCTGGTAGGAAAGTCATCCATTCCTCTATTTTCAGCTCTCTATATAAACCCAAAGAATTGATTTGGGAAGAGATTAACCATATAGTATATAGCTGGTGATTTTGTTCCGGAAAGAGTGCCTCTGACATAGAAGTTACTTTGAAAAGAAAGAATCAGTTGGAAATTATTTTTCCCCTTGATTGGAGGTAATCTTCACATGGAAGTAGTCTTTTACCTCCACAGTTCTAATACTCTGCTTTGATAACCTGTTTCTTTTATCTTCACAGCTTCTGGAAGAACTGGGTACAGGCTTAATACAACAGTACAAGCCAGATTCCAGCCTAGCACCTGAACAGAGAGTGCCCGTCACCTTGGTAAGTAGATGTCAATTCATAGATTCCTCTTTTCTTAGTGCTTCGGTCAGTTTATTTTTTAGGTTCAATTATAAAGTGGAGTGGATGGTTTTTTCCGATGTCAAAACTTATGGTTTATTATCTTGGATAATGAGATACTAGGATAAATAGGTTTTATTTGCATTTCAGTTTATTTGCAGTCCAGGGTGTGGTAAGATTATGTGTAACAAATTATTAGCTATGCAAAAACCAATGATTTCTTTTGCACAAAATCTAGTTTGGTTACTCAGCCTGCCCAAGAGGCAGACTAGAATGGTGAGGAGAGCCTAGAATTTAGAATCAGAAGACAAGAGATCAAATCTAGGGAGCACCAGCTAATTATGTGCTTGTGAATATAGTTTCTCATTTTAAAGAGGAAGAAAAATCCTTAACTCCTAGGGCTGTTGGAAGATGGAATGAAAGGTAAAGATGCTGACAAATAGTAGTGCTCAATGAATGCTAATCCCTCACTGCCGCAACCCCCTTCCTGACTCCGGTTAAATTCTTGAGATGTTAGGTTGTGTCTGTTGCCCCCACACTGTGCCAGTTCTTCTTTGGAGAAGGAACACGTGACCTCACCAAAAAAAGGCTCCTACTTAGTGCCAAAAGCAAAATCAATGCAACAGTTTTCTCCCTCTGCCCTCCTCATCCCATTTGTCCTTTTTCCTTCACAGTTTCCATCATCCTTGCAGGGAATTAAGAATGTCTAGCTCTAGTCCCTTCCTTCGTCTGCTACTAAAGCTGAAATGTCACCATTTGCAGGGAGATGAGTTGAGTTTTGCTACCAGAGAGACCTGGGTTAGAATCTAAACTTCTCCCCTTGTTTGTCAAGTGACTGGGCAAGACTCTTACGCTGTTCACATTCAAGTATTGTTTCATCTTTAAAAATGGGATATACTTTCTGAGTTATCTATTGTTGAATAAGAAATTATCCTGAACTTGGCTTAAAACAGTATACATTTATTCTCGCATACTTTCTCTGGGTCGGGAATTGAGAGCAGCTTAGCTGGGTGGTTGTGGCTCAGGACTCTCATGAGGTTGTTAATCAGGATGATGGCAGGGGCGCAGTCACTGAGCTTGACCGGCTGGGAGGGTCTTCCAAGGAGACTCACTCACATGCCTAGCAAGTTAGTGCTGGCTATTGGGAGCAGGCCTCGCTTCCTCCCCACCAGGACCTCTCCAGAGGGCTGCCTGAGTGTTCTCTTGACTTAGAAGCTGGCTTCCCCACAGCAAGTGAATCAGAGAGAGAGGGAGAGAGAGAGAGAGAGAGAGAGAGAGAGAGAGAGAGAGAGAGAGAGAGCGAGAGAGCGCTGCAGGGTTTTTATGACCCAGCTTCAGAAGTTTCAGTGTCATTACCACACCATCCTATTGGTTACACAGGTCAGCCCCAGTCAGTGTGGGAGGGGACTGCCTCTTAAACATTAGGCAGCGAGGATCACTGTGGGCCATCTTGGAGGTTGGCAACCACAGCTGTCCACATTCTCCTGGTTTGGGCTGGGGAAGGCCCAGACTGGGTTTCCAGGGAGCTAGGATTGTGGGGAGGACAGAACTGGTGCACGGGATACATGGTAACACTTAGGACTAAATCTGTGGGGGCAGAAGTGAGACACCGAACTCCAGACAGTGTGCAAAGTGAAAGCCGGGTTTTATAAAGCATGGGAAGGATTTGGAAAGGTACTCCTTCAGATGCCTCCCTTGAGGGACTG